AAATTAAGTATTTTCTACTATTTATAAAGCTGAAACAGAAAATATTTACATACCCTTTATTTTGTAATATAAACTGCAACCACAAGAGGCTGCTTCCATTTCACAATTCTGCTACTGCTGCACATGGAAGTTGAACAAGAAAACATTCTTTTCCTCTTATTAATGCTTTGATGATTTACTTTATTTCATGAAGCCATTTGGGTGGATTTTTTTGTTTTTAAGGCGCATCACAAGACACCATGGCCTATTTCAAGTAAAAAATGTCTTTTAGAAGAATTTAGAAGATTAATAACAGAGTACTAGTATGCATCTTTCAAGTGCTTTAGCTTTGATTTCTAATTTTAAGGCTTTTTTTAAACAGCAATTCAACCCTTTATACAAGTTAACATCACTCAGATTAAGAAGATAACTTCTCTTCCAAAAAATACCACTTACCAGCCGAAATACAGATTTTTTTCTGTAACACTAACCACAAGTGACAATCTTGCAGAAGCAACTGCAGGATTCCCCTTCCCCTACGTTTGTTCTCCATAATTTCTGGCTGCTGGGCATTAAACAACACATGAGTAACTTTTTGCAAGTTACTCAGTCTGTTTCTAAAATACCAAGCTGCATTACTTGAGAGTGAGAAAGTTGACACTTGTGTACTTTCTGCCATTCTGATTGAAGGATTAAAGCTTTGTACAAAATGGATCATTTCAACGAAACCACCAAGGTAAGGTGGAAAGTGTTAATTCATCACAGCAGAGCAAACACCTGCCCACATCCTGCTCAGGAGGTAGAGAGACACAACCCAAATGGCAGCTCAGTTACATACCCACGCCAGTCTTCTCGGTCTTGTGCCATCTTGCCATCACACATGAATCCCTGAGGCTCCAAAGGATGCCCACCAGCAAGGAATCCAAGGTTGATGGGCTGCAGCCTTGAGGATGAGTGACCAACCCAGGCCTGGAAGGAGCAACGTTCCCCAGCACCGGCACCGAGGAGCGGGCGGAGGCAGCTGTGAGATTTGCTGCTGTTCTGAGCTTCCTTCCTCTTTTCTCAACTCAAGACATCGCACCCCGTGTCATGGGGGAGGGGAATCCCAAACTGGGTGTTACTGTTGCTCGATACTGGTGGTAACACATCAGCAAAGGAGCAAACCCAGGGCAGTGCTCTGCGGCACCAGCCCCAAACTGGGGACGTGTGTGAGCCCGGCTGCAGTGACGCCTCCCTTCAGCTCCCAAACCCTCACCAACACCACACTTGAAAGGTTTGACTTCACAGATCAAACATCTTAAAACCTGCTCTCTTCTAACCTGTCCTGGAACAAGGATTTGTCTTTTTTTTTTTTTGCAAGTCCACGTCTCCTGAGGGAAACAGCATGAAGACAAAGCCGCGTTTGAAACCGCACCCATTTCTTAGTTCTGTCATTTTATGTTTGCAGGAAAAAGTGTTGAAGACTTTCTCTTTAGTCTCTAAACAAAGCAGCACTTTCTTAAAGACTTATTGTCCAGACAAAACTGGAAAAAGCAATTTATGGTATATTTACAACTGCTACGTGAGCTAACTGCCATAAGGACATTTTGGATGTGCAAAAAATCAATCCAAGTTGTTTGTAATGTGGATTAAGGACAATACACTTAATTGAAGGCAAGTATGTCACACTTCACTTTACTTACAGTTTGGACTTAAAAAAACACAAAATGCTTGCAAAGATTTACTGTTTGTTTGTTTGATCTCCTGCTTAGTACAACAAATTCACGTGACAATCCTGTCCTCTGGATATTATATTGCAACTTAGCAATCACTGTTTATCCAAACTGTTTAACACTGCTACGCTACATTCCTCAGGATATTTTGGATAATACATGACATTCTATTTCTTGGTTCTAACTAGCAATCATGTGGAGCTCAGACTGCCAGTCTATCTCATTGCACATGGAATTCTGATACATATTTCTGGAGGAAAATCACTTTAAACTTTACCAGATTTGCTTGAATTGCCCTAATCTTCACCATGTCTACATACTAGCTTAGCAAAAGGGTTTAGCTTGTTACTTTCCCCTAAAATAACATTGAAATTCACGTTACATTAACTAAAGTGGGCTAAATTCTGAGTAACATCCATTATCTCCATTTACAGACAACAAGCTTCATTTACAGGTTCTAAATCTTTCCCACCCATGGAACATCGATTTTATCTTGTTCTTCTGTCAAAAAAATATGTTGAGGCTGAATCATTTCATCTTTTAGTTTACATTATGGGATTTGAGCAACAGCTTCCTAACCAGTGATAACTATCTTCCTTACTCCTCCCAATCCCTGCTGCAGCAAATCCCCTCTTCCCATTTCCTATTCGGCCTAAAGGATAATGTGTTATTTTCTTGTTCTACATCTCTCTTCCTTATAGGGTTTACCTGTAACACAACAGTGCTGAGGAAATCCTTTCTAGCACTTACTTGCAAACATGCTTATGCTTCCTCATGTAGGTCTACTAAACCTAGTTGATACCATTATCTTTTGAAAACAAATTATCTAAAATACAGGAATTTCACCTTCAAGCTGGGATCCAGTTGGTAACATTTTGCTGCTGCCTGGCTGTGACTGTGCAGAGCTCAGCACACGCCCAGGGACTGGGCTCTTTGCAGAGCTCACATTTCCCCTCACACCATCCCAGCTCCCCACAAACGCTGATCTGAGGACCCAAACTCCCTCAGGCATCGCTGCTTCCCATGTGCCATCCCTTCCCCACGCCCAGCTCAGCATTGCACACATCTGCTCTGACTTCCTCCCCTGAAACTTTCACGATGATGCTTTTGCAACTCCTCGACCAGAACCTGCTGCTGCTTCACCTCCATTGGCTCAGACAACCCCGTCTGACTGCGGCGGAAAAATCCGAGCTGTAACTCCCAAGAAATGCATTGAGGAACAAAATCCTTTTCTAGCTGCAAGAGGAAAGTGCACCCAGAGCAAAGCATGCACAGCAACCCTAAAATCCTGTTCTTACACCAGAGGACAAATCCCAACATCGCTCTAGAGAATTAAGGTGGATAATTGTTACACCCTCTGGCAGGGGAGGCTTTTATTCCAAGTTAGTTTATTTATGTAGTTACCATTCCACATTAATATTCCACAGAAAACAGTGGACAGATTCATCACCTTCACATACCTCGTCATTTTTTCCTTAAGTCTTTTTTTCAGACAGGAAGTCTTTTAAGGAAAGCAAAAAGTTCCTGACTTCCCCAAAAGATGAAAGTCTCTGTCCAGGGAGTTCACAGGTAGAACTTCCCTTTTGGGGGCTGAGGGGCAGGCAGAGGAAGGGAGACAATTCTTGCTTCCTTTAACGTTGCTCTTGGTTCCAGAAAACAAGATCTTGTAAGATGCTGACTTTATAATTAGCCAATTTTAGCTGTGCTAATTTCCATCATACAGGAGAACTTGAGCAGAACACAGAAGTTGCATTTAACTGCCTCTGAATTCTATTCCAAGCCAAGATCTGTGAGCAGCTGCAAAAAAAAGCAACTGCTGTGACAAAACAGAACCAAAAAAGACAGTGTACAAAGGACTCTCAGGCACAAAACCTTAAGTATATTATGGCCAAACCAAAGCCTGAATGCCAGACATGTTCCCCCACCTGCTGTAGTTGTGCATGAGATGCACACAAATATTGCATAAGATGAAAAACTTACACACTCCAAGGAAACTCCAGTAGTGGAGGGGAAGTAGTTCCTGAGGGTAAGAGATAACTGGGATGGCACTGATTGGGATTTTGTTTGTAGCATTAATTAACAAGTTATTTCTATTTAGAAAAAAAAATTAGTAATGCCATATTGCCAAATAGCTCAAAATATAATTAACTGTAACTCAACATACAATTAGCATAACTCAACGTATAATTGTCTTACTAGACAATCTACAGCTCAGTACTCCCATTTAAACCACATCATCTAGTGTCAGCTTACCTGAGGTTTTCCTTTAAGTAGAACAATCACGTACTGCAGTTGTTTTATGCTATTTGTGTCACAGCAACAATAAACAAAGATAACTTTCACCATTTGCATAAAAAAAATAGGTTGTCTTCTAACATTTTGTAGCAGGAAAAGCAGGATTTCTTCAACACAGCAGCATTTAAGTTCAAATCAAGAAGAGTAAGAACTACTTCATGGATATACATTTGCTTCCAGTAATGTCATGGAATATCTTAAGAGATAACAGGAAAGATATTCTCTTATGGAGACTCAATAACCAACTGAAGAATTTGGATGCAAATTCCTGAGATTAATGGTGATACAATTAACTTGTATGACACATGGATCTCTGATTATTTTGTTCAACACCAGCAGCAGCAGCCACCAGGCTGTGCCTAAACCTCCCTGTGTAGAAATGGTCTGATGATGAGTTAGTTCCACACTGGAAAGGGAGAAGCCAGAAGTGGTCATTTAAAGTGACTTTCCCACCTCTTCAGTCACTTTGCTGTGACTCAGTTTTACAGTTCAGTGTTGGTTGAGGGGAGTGATGAGCTAAAGCCACTCCCACTCACAGCTCACACAACCCCAGGGCATCACTTCTGACCTGGCACAACTGTGACCAAGCCAGTGGGTTGGCAAGATTGTTCCCCAGTGAATTGTTTTTCCCTGATGGATTTAAAAGGAGAAGTCCTACAGAACTTTCACCTTAACTAAGAACCTTCTACCTAGACAGTGGCTAATCCATTCACCAGAGGGAGCTTAAACTGCAGTATGACTGAAAGGAATTACTCACATTTCCATATAAATGCTCAAAATAAAAATAAAAAAAAAAAATCAATGGAATAAGCTTAAAAGCTCTCCTCAAAATTATTTTGCAGGACCTTCAGAACATTACAAAACTGTGTCCTAAAAGCATGACAACACACAGCACCTGCATTATACTTTCTTAGCATTTATTGATTTTTTTAAACAATTTCTACAAAAGACCTTGCCTTTCATTTAAAAAGTAGATATGTGTTTCTTCTCAAATGCAATACAGACTACATTTTATAAAGAAAGAGAAATAAACCTTTATTTAATTATTAGTACAAATACAAGAAGTCAGAGTTTCAAGTGAATACTGACCAACAAAACACACAAAAAGATTCAGTTCACCTTTGCCATCAGGTCAGCCTGAAAGTTGAAAAGGTACATCATTAGGAGGAAAAAATATTAAGAATTCTGAATCCAGGAAGAAATTCAGGAGAACCTGACTTAGCCAAGTTCTCCATCAACAACACTGTCCAGTCTGTCTTGCTCAGGGTTGCCCCTGTCCTGCCATACAATAAAACCAGTGCAGCAAGTGCTTCTCCTCCACAACAGCACATTTAGAGACTTCACCAAGAGTCAGGACAAGGCAACACTTGAGGTCCCAGTGAAGGGAACTCCACCAGTGCCCTCTGGGAAGTTATCAAAGTGCAGCTCTCATTAACCCCCTCATACTCTTCAGAACACAAGGCAGATCAATACCCAAGTCAGGAATCTGTACACTGAGCTGTGACAAGTTTACTCAGTATTTCCTGCTGAAGCAGGACTCCAAATTGTCCAGGTGCCTTCCAGAAGTGTAAGTTCTATTGCTGAGCACACTGTGTTTCAGGGGTTTTCTTGGAAGGTACATACAAGGTTGTGTATTTTGTCTTTTTTGTTTTCTTCTCCGCCGTGATTTTATTTTCTTTCTTATCTTCTTCTGTAGATTCAGATCTGGATTCAGCTGTTAACCTACAGGCAAAGCAACCATTCTAAATACACATTTAGTTTATATAAACCAGGACAAAAGTAAGAGTTTTAGGCAGAGTCAAGAAGCCAACTGGCATATAAGACCATCCATAGGCAAAGACAGAGCAAGCAGGGTTTAAGGAGAAAATGAGACTGAAACAGAGCATTTTTAATATCAGTCCTAATCACATTTCATCACTTAAAGCCTCCCCCCCACCACATCTGTTGAAATGTTGGGTGAAAAAGCTTCCTGAGTGTGTTTTCTGGTTGGGATCAGCCTTCAAAAACACCAGTGACTGTGCCATGCACCCAGAGGAGATTAAATCCCCCAAAATACAACTCCAAGTCCCAGCAACATAATACAAATATGCTGAAGCCAAGCTTCCTTCTTCTACACCACCAAAAAGACTACCCTTAGAGGACTCCACTAGTTTCCACCTAGCTCTGTACTACTAATGTCTTTATTTTAATGCCTGAATATCTTAGGTTGCTGCAGGAAAATTTATTTTCAGGCTCTAAATTGCATCATTTGCCCACTGACATGTTTCAATGCTGCTGTGAATGTAAATGGGGGCACAACTGCCTCAATGTTGGTAAAGAGATAAGTAATTCTGAAATCAAAACATTGTCTTCAGATGTCTAAATCTCATTTTTAACTTAATTAACATGCAAACATGCCAACAGAACAATTGATAAATAATGGTATTTTATCCAATCAAATCACCCACAGTCAGTTGACTGTTCCACATAATTTTTGTTGTGAAAATAATCACGAAAAATGAAGTTCCAAATTAAACATGGCTTTATATACCAACACAAATCTGTGCTCCCTCATCACCACATACATTAAAGCAATTCTCTAGTGACCTTGTGGATTTCTAGTTGTCTCAAGAGCAACCACAGCCCCGACAGCTGATTTCAATGATGGTTTTCCAAACAAAAAGAGTTGCTACCCAGTTGTTAGAGATTTATTTGCAATACAGACCTGCAGCTCAACATGAAGACTGTGAAAGGAGCTGTAACAAAACAGTGTGGGGAAATTCAGCTACAGATTCCAACTAAAAGCAAACTATTATGCATTGCAAGCAATATTATTCCCTATAAGCACTGTCTCACACTATAACAAGAAATGGGTTTTGCTGTGCCCCTGCCCTGGGTCAGTGTTTGCTCCACCAGGTCATTCTCATGGCTGACAACCTTCTGTTTGTGGTCACCTTCCCCCAGGCTGCCCCATATTTTTTTCCTCCCTGTGTAATTCCCAGTAATGATTCTGTGGTTTGCACTTCACCTGCAGTGCAGTCTTTGTCTCCCAGGGAGCAGGGATTAGGGATGGGCAGTTCTGTCCATCTGCTCCTGTGGCAGATTCCCTTCCTTTGTCCCTCCACTATTCTGCTTTAAAACAACCTCTGCCCAAGGGCACCAAACCCACTACTCTAACAGCCAAAATTGCCACCCAGGATTGCCTAAAAAAATACAGAGAGGACTCAAACAAACCAAAAGACCAAATAAAACCAAATTCACTTTAGTTACGTTCCAAAGCAACACCACAGGATTTATACAAAATCCTGCCCCCTTTTACAGCATTAGGCAATTCTGTCAGTGTATGATGTAACAACTCTGGCAATCAATTCACTCTGTGCCTCTTGTGAGGAGGACATGGAAGCCAAGAATGAAGCTGAGCCTGGGAGGAAGGGCTGGGCCACAGGGGGGAGACAGTTTTCTTTCTCTCTCATTGTCCCACTGCTTTTAATTGGCCAGTTAACCTTCCCCAAGTCTGGTTTGCCCAGGATCAGTTGATCCCTGTCAGCTTTATCTCTCCCCACAAGCTTTTTTCATCTAATGTTCTCCTTTGGCCTGTGGAAGAGAGGGAGTGAAAGCAGCTGGGTGGGAGTGTGGGACCCACCACAGCCCTCAGCCCATCCCTTGGAGCACCACAGTGGATCACCAAGTGTCAGCACAGGGAAAGGGATGGATCAGAAAGAACAGGCACCAGTTAAACACTTCCACCTTCAAAAAGACCAAGCTATGACATGATTCTATCAAGCTGTGACTGGGCAGACTCCAAAACTGAGTTATAACTGGAGCTCTACCCATTTAAGGCAGATGAACTGTCTCATCAGGTGAAGCTCTGCTTGCCTAAAACCCCAAAGAGATTATTAGTATCCAGATCTCCTGCTGGGCCAAATGGCTGCAGGCATGTGAAGTAGATTTGGTCTATGTAATCCAACTAAATAATTTAAGGGAGCAAATAGGCTCTTAGGCACACAAGCTCTTCTTTAGATCAAACCAAAGCAAACAACTTCAAATCTAAATGCAAACTAAGTTGTGCAGCAAGGGCTGGAATTTGCTGTTTCAGTTTCAGAAGGGAAGAAAAGCATTTCAATACAGAAATGTATCTTTTTATTGACCAGATGGCCCAACAAAAGATACCACTGCACACAGCCTTTGCAGTGCCTGAATTTCAGCAGCAACTGATAATTAATAATAATCACTTGAATATTTAAACCTTTAGTCTCAACACTCTCATACCACAACCAGATCAGTCCCATCACCTAATAAGTTACTCCAATGTGTACTTTAGATTCTGAAAGGACACAGACATGTTGTGCAGACCCATGTGCTGACAGGCTGAAGTGATGTACCTGTACCTTGCTAAATCACCTTAGCAAGAAAGTGTCTACAAACAAGGGAGTTTGTCACCCACACAGGTACACACAGATCACTCCTGACCACTTCACCACCTCCTGAGCCGAGGTGACAAAGCTTCCCAGACCCCACTTTCCAGAAATGAGGTATGCAGCCTGTAACCCAGTTATAGTGGTTCTTTTCAGTGCCACATTTCATGCACCAATAATGACAGAGCTAATTACTGCACAGAAACTATTCCAGTCACAAAACCAACCCCCAGAGGCCATGACAGCCTTTTCAGCTGGAGCATCACATTTTATTTAACACAAGTTCAAACACTGAATATTTAGCATTATTTTTACCATCCACCATTATTTTTACCATCCACCATTATTTTTCCCCCCAAAGTCTCCATTTTCAGGTCCACACTCAAGGTGCCAATAGATTTTGTGCCTAGGGTTTGGCCATATCCATCTCAGAACAGTCCAGAGATTCCTTTAGTCTTTAGAAATCCAATCTCTCAAATACTGAGACTTGATCATGACTTCCTATTCCATAATAAATCATTGCAGATCAGGGTTAAGTAAACCCTCAGTGTCATATTAAGAGCATCATGACTTGGGGCTTTAGTAGTTCATTAATACCATCAGAAACAGAACTTCCTGCCTGGATTTGCCCTTACCAGGCTCATACCATCATTGAAAACAGCTTACATGGAGTTTTGTGACAGTCTTTTAATTGTGTTGGTGGTTTTTATTTTTTAAAAGTGATTGATTTATGTTTTGTTCCTTATTTGAACCAACAAGCAATAGGTGCAAGATTAGAAACCTCCCTCTGAGCTACGGCTTCATCTTCCCCTTCCACTTTTTCTATGCACTCTGCTTTCAAACATCAACTTCATAAATAATTTCCACTCACACCCTCTCCATGATTACTCAAATAATCACCCCCTCTCCAGTAAGTTCAGTCCTTCACTTCACATAAACTGTTTCCAACAACTTCCTGTCGGCAGACACTGTACCTCCCTTTCCTAAAAGGAATGTGAGGAGATAAGTGAAATGTTTCCTACCAGGTTCCATGCTACCTGTTCCTGCATGTGTAGAGACACTGTCAAAACACACCACACCACCACTCAGTTATCCCATCTTTCCTCTCCACTTTCACCACCCACATCTGACCTCCCTGATCTTCCCTCCTCACTAACAGTCCCTGCCCATTTTGACACAGCTGCTCAAACAGCTGCTCCTGCCATATTTTTTCCAGGCTGTTTCAGAAGATTGCAACCTTTGGCTGCTTTAAGTCTGTTAATCACACCCATGCAACCTTGACTAATTGATCTAAGAGTCAAAGGATCAATCCAATTACTTCTGAATGCCATTAGCTCTGGCTACACTGTGCAGGTTTCCATGGGTTAGGCCTTCCTCCATCTTCAGAAATGCTGTCATTTTAGACTCACTAAGTTATTTCTTCTAGCAGACATCAGCAAGCTGCAAGCTCAAAGCATCTAGACAAGCCCAGACTTTTTTTCTCCTCCCAAACAAATGTGTTTACAAAGATTATGAACAGAATACAAAAAGCATTCACTGAAAAAGTAGAAAATAGAAATCAGCATTCCTTTAACCAAGATAAAAAAGTTGGAGATAATGACTATTCTCAGTTACTTTACAATCTAGCAAAAACTTCTCAGTTCAGGGCAAAAATGTGATGTTAATTTGGCAGTTGTCTTTCCAGCTATCATGCATCCAGATTATGCAAGTCATTTGTCTGACAACACAAACAGCTGATTAATTCTCTGTGATCTTGTACGATGTGAGTTTTGTTAACGCCACTCAGGTTAAGAATGACTTTAAATAATTTTTAGGCTTTTAGCTAAATCTGCAAGTTGATGAGGGCTGAAATTAGGTATCAAACTGAAGCATGACACCTATTGCCTTTATTACCTTGAGGTGTTAACAGGGTTTGAAGGGACCAAAAAAACAAGAAGTCTCTGAGGTTGGAGCAAACCGAGCGAGCTGTCACGCTACCTGTCTTCAAGTAATGGCAAGGTTACTTTAGTTACAGTTTCAAGAGTCTTTTTTATTAGTCACCACTTTAGTCCTCCTAAAAGGTATTGAGAGGTTCAATGTAGGCAGCTGGAGCTGAGGAATGACCCGGCATGCAACACTGAGGAAATAGATAAAGAATTGGATAGCAAAGTTCATGCAGCGAAAGAAAAGAGATGCAGGTCTGTGCTGATTGCCTTGAGCAGAGACAGAAGCTGACACTGACCTGAGGGCAGCTGAAGTCAAGGAATTATTTCCACTTCTGCTGTTTGAAGAAAAGGCCTCGTGGTTGTCTTCTTGAAATTTAACTCTTTTCTCCCTTTCAGGTTCCACTGTGTTCCTCTTTGCTTGCAGAGTTGTGTGGAATGGGGATGCTGGGAAAGCCTGTCTTAGTTGAGAAGCACCACTTTGCTCCAAGTACTTGGCAGTTATCTTTTTTCCTTCCTTACTTGGCAACTGAGTGAGAGCACCTTCTCTTACTGGAGTACTTTTGCTGTCCAAGTATTCACAAGTAGTGTCCACTGGAATCCTCTCCCTCTTCTTTTTAACTTTAGAGCCTCTAGGTAATTCTAAGGAGAAAAAGGAATATACTTTTTGTACAGAAGCAAAGCTGGAGTTAATCTGTCCACCAACATGTTCATAATAGAACTAAAAAAAACATTTCACATGACTAAAGACCATGCAATAGTTTTTAACAGACAACTTAGATCCCTTAAAGAATGTCCCTTCATATAGTCTAATAAGCCCAACAGAAGCCAGCTTGAAAAAAGAGATATCATCCACTCTACCTTTTCACCAAGACCTTTAATTAAATGCTCTGAACTACAGGCTGTGAGGTAAGCTTTCACAACCAGGATCTGAAAGTCAAATCCTTTGGGTATGGAGAAGTACAAAACTAACTCACCCCATGCATAGAATCCCAAAGTGGTTTGGTCTGGGAGGGACCTTAAAGCTCATCTTGTTCCACGCTCTGCCATGGGCAGGGACACCTTCCACTAGCCCAGGTTACTCTGAGCCCTGTCCAACCTGGCCTTGGACACTTCCAGGGATGGGGCAGCCACAGCTTCTCTGGGCAACCTGTGCCAGGGCCTCCCCACCCTCCCAGGGAAGAATTTCTTCCTAACGTCTGATCTAAACCTGCCCTTTTTCAGCTTAAATAGAATCATCTTCCTCCACAGTCTCCAGCTCCCTTATTTTGCACACACTCAGCTATCAGCTGTTTTTCAGGAGGGCCTCTGTTGTCAAAATTTAAGCCATATTAACTTGAGCTACTAAACAGTTTCTCCTCTAAATGCTTTGCACTTTATTACAAAGCTCCTGCCAGCTGCATTCAGAAAACTGAGGCTTCTCACCAACACAAAGATGCTGCCACTGTTACGAAAAGCACCTCCTGAGCATCTGTTCCCACCCACTTGACTGTGCTTGTCCAGCTGTACTCCATAAAGCCCCTGAACACTCATCTGTACCCTTTAGTCTTCTGAAGTCACTGTTAGGACACATTGAAGGGAGGTCCTTGAGCAAAGCAGGGCTTTTCTCTTTCAGTTCAGCAGGTTTTGGATCTGGTTATTATCAACAAGGCAGCCATTTAAAGTTTAGTCTACATCTGGAACTAAAGCAATGTCTTCCTGTCTGATGTCATCCCATTTGTGAAGGTGCAGAACATCACCTATTTACTTTCTCCCCCAAGTGGAAAAGTTGTATTTACCTTCAGGTTCATATTTCATTTTCAGCTCATCCAGCATAACTCTCAAGCTCATATTCTCACTCTGACACGTCTGCAACTGTCTCTCACTGGTAAAGAGCTTCCTTTCAAATTCCAGGACCCTTTGGCTCTCATACAGAGCTTTCATTTTTTGCAAGGAGAGTTCATTTTTCAGTGTTTCAGTTTCCTTGCTGGGGTGGGAGGAAAATTATCAAGTCAGACTTGGTTTGCTTGGTTGTTTTGTTTTGTTGTTTTTTTGTTGTTTTGTTTTTTTTTTAAGTAAAGCAGCAGGTGTAAAGTCAACTCAATACACAACAACTTCATGCCAAATTTGTATTTATACACTTGGATCTGAGGGCTTAAAAACAGTCAGAGGCCAAACACTATGAACTTGATAATTAATGAATATGGAATTCACTAGTCAAAGAACACAACTAGATAGTCCAATAAAGCATTTTAAGTGTTATTATCTGTCTCCTTTGATAAGGGAAATAAATATATACAGCCTATAGACTAAGAATCTCATACAGTCACCTTACAGATTAAGTTTTAATTTATTAAAGTTCTCAATTGTCCTGTATCTAGGAGCATGGAAGAAAGCAACAAGATACAATGGTTCTGCTGCTATCTTTTAAAACAGTAAATTGAACTCCAAACAGAAAACTCTCATTCCTATAATGAATTAGAAAATACAGCAAGGAGCATGTCTGTATATAAAGTCAGTGCATACAGACAGTAACAAAAAAGGGAGAATAAAAGCAAGTACCTCCAAGATAACCCTGCTACAACCAACTTCTAGGGCTCAGACTGTAAGTACTTACTTGGAGTTGTCAAGTTTAATTTTCAGTAAATCTGCATAGTACTCATCCTCAGAGTCACCTCCTTTTTTGCTACTCCCAGGTTTGGATTCTTCCATATTCTCATATAAAGTCTGATAAATAAAGAAATGTCAGGTTGTCAAGCAGTGACCTTTCAGAAGCACACTAGCTTGGTCCTTAAGTGACATTTTCCATGCCTTTCTATGGAGAAGCCTCATCATACAGGGATTTAAACACAGAAGATAACCCAGTTGCTCTGAGTACCTCCTCATTTGTTACAAATATCAAATAGCACTAAAACTGACAGTTCTCTCTCATTCACTGAAAAAAAATAAAAAAGTAAGTTATCTCAACTGCAGAAGGCTTTCAAATAGCACTGCACAACTTGCTTTATACTTGAAAATACAGGATATTTAGTTAACACACATGGGCTTTCTTCCACCATTTATTTCTAGGCTTCAGCAGCTGGACCCCAAAGGAATACAAGCCATGCTGATCAACAGTTAATCTCAAAATCAATTACATATTTCAGATGAGGGACTTAGCTGATAACAAAGATGCCATAAATGCATGTGACACTGGGTTTTTGTTGTGTGGTTTTTTTCTGAAGCAGCAGCAACCAGACTAAACAGTGTGTCCTACAGACCTCCCAGTCCTCTGTCAGTCACTGACTGCAGATCCTTTGGGTTGGTTACTGGAATCAAGTATTTGGTTTCCTGACACCACTTATTTATGGCCTAGAGACAGAAATAGAGATCAAGCTCATAAATGAGAAAACTGGTAAAACAATCAGGCTTCCTCAATTGCTTGCTAAAATGGGTTAAGCTTGGCTTTACACCACTTGGGTTAAATACAGAATAGAGGAGGCTATCCTGGAAAGCATAATCCTACTGCACAAGCTAATACACCCCAGTTTACACTCCAAAGCTGTGATAAGAAAGGGCCAAACGAGTCCAGAAGTGCAAGAATTAAAAGAGGCTGCTCTCTGTAAACACATAAACATCAGTAACATTACACTAGTGACCCAGGGGTCCTCATGTACTTCTCACTTGTCATAATACTGGCAAGATAGCACCAAGTTGCATAAGAAGACTGCAAAAAAATTGCTTTACAAGGATGATTAAACAATTCAGTTTTGTTAGAGAAGAGTAGGGTTCAACTGTAAAGTTAAGAAACATTAAGAAAATAAATGTCCAGGAAATTCAACAGAGCTGAGACTAAAAAGTGCCAAAGCCTAAGTACACACAGTAAAAGTGTGAAATGGCTACACCCTCCAAGAGAAAAATCAGATGTCACAGCTCAGTGAACTTTGACCAAGTAATAGGATTTGAATGCTACAAGTAACTAAGATATGAAGGTGCTACACACAGGAACCCACAAAAAAATTGTTTCTTCAACCCAGGTGTTGAATTTTCTGCTTCTTTGAACTTGAGGAGTAAATATTCCCCAACTGTAAAACACAACTGGGATCAAATAAAGGTATGAGTAGCTTTGAGACCCCTTTTCAAACAAGTTTTCATAATTCTTGTTCTCATGTTTTAGCTTCCACTTAGGATTTTGTACTTAGTTACAAACCACATACCTTAAATTTTTCTAGCTGCCTCACTTTCATCAGCAGATCTTCTATTTCCCCATTCTTTTGCTCCAACATGGCCTGTAAACGTTCCAGCTGATCAAATTCTGCCTGAGAGCCTTTCATCTGCAGCAGTGTAGCCATTTGCAGCTGGAAAAAAAAGGGGAGAAAAAATAAATCTTTACAACAAGTACTAGGATTAGTGACTGAAAGTCTCAGCCTCTTACCCAGAACTGTTCAGGTACTCAAGCCTTGTAATTCTAATTCTGAATATAGAAGTGCACTGGCTGCTTAAGCTCAGCCTTCGTAACAATCTTAGCAATTATCCCCATAGATTGACACTCAAAGTCCTCAGGAGAGCTGAAAACTTCCTGAACAGCTCAGTCCTGAGTGTCACACCCTCCTCTGTACTGACTAAAGAACCTGTAAATGCACTGTCAAGGACACACAACATTCCACATTCAAATCATAAACAGCCAGTCAGCTAGAACCCAACTACAGTTCAGGCTTATTTATCAGAACTAAAATTAATCTTGGAAACTTCTCACTTGGGAAAACCCACAAATTTCAATCCCTTTTTCCCCCCCACTTCTGATTCTGAGGTGTAACACCACCATGTTTGCCTTCTGCAATATTAACCCAAGAATTTCAGCTTTTTCTGCTCCTCCAGTGGAACACATCCTTTCAAGCACAAGAACATCCTCTGTCATTACAAAGGAGAAGTTTATCACAATTTTGCACTTAGAGCAAAATTTTCTGAGGGTGTTAATACATTAATGTCATGTTTACAAGGGTCTTAACATATTGAGTTACAAGGGATACATCAGACATTTAAACAACTGGGGAAACAACATGAAAACCAAGACATTAAAGACTTCACAGAGTGTTAATGGACACTGAGGCATTTTTATCAGTATAGTCACTATGGATAAGGTAACACTATTGGGACACTGGGAGAAATCACAGGGAGAGGATCAAAGGAAAAAATCAGACTACAGATTGAGGGAGAAAGTGAGAGGAAAGCATTTATCCTATGCAATCTCCTGTATCAGCTACAGGGTATTGATGCTTCTGTACACAAACTGGAGCTCCAGAAAGATTAAATTATCTCACAGCTTCTACAGAACATAAGGGAGGCAAAATTTTACCCCTCCCCAACACTGGCTGACTAAAACTACCCTTACAATGCCCAGTCACAGACATCTCATCTTCCCCCTTTGACTCAAAAGGCCTCTTGCTATCAGAATTACAAGTTGCAGTTGATCTACATAAAAACAAAGAACAGGGACATTAAGAAATTCAAAGGGATACTCTGGGCTGTGGTAGAACTTTCACAGGAGTGCTGTGGACATCCTGTTCAGGACTCAGATCTTCAGGAGTCACCAGCAAGTACCACACAGAGACATTCTGACAACTAAAGCTGCAGCAACAGTCACCTCCACTGCAGGAATCAGTTGTGAGGGGGGAGATAAGCACAGACTGAGTTTTAACACACAGCAGCACAGTGCAGACAGGAGGCTAACAGGGATCTAGGATGGCAGCTTAAGCAGAACAGCTGTCCTAACAAACTACTTATTTCCAGTGCTGATATCAGAAGAAATGTTATGAGTACAAATTGAAATTCCAAATCAAAGCATTAAGCAGTAGAACAGGGATACCAATTTGCCTCCATTTTTGGTGGAAGTCTTCAGTATTAGGCATGTTTCTTATACATTGAACCAGCAGGACTGACCTACCCTCATATTACAAGGAGAAAGTTTCTGACCAAACTGATCCCACCCAATGACTTTGCTCACTCAGATCTTTGCTGTATCTGTAGGTTTTTTGCCTTCTCCTTTAAGAATGTTGTTTCAACTATTTTCAACCTCCTCCACAAAAGCTGGGGAACACAAACCTGTACTTTCAGCACAACTTATGATCATCACTCTAGATTTTTAAGCACTCTCCTTCACAATCAAGTGAAAGGATTCACTTTAGCATTGGAAAAAACCCAGAAGACCACCATGAAAACAGTTGCCAGCTCTGCCATTATCTTGTAAGTCAGCTTCTGTCAACTACTCAACATTAAACAACAGGCTCCCATCCTATAACAGTGTAGGCTAAATTAAATAGGTATGGCAAAAGTTATGACTTATTCTTGCACCAAAAATAGGGAAAAGCAGAGAAAAAAAAGAGGGCAAAAAGAAGAAAGCAACCCTGAGGGCAAAAAAACCAGAAACCAAAACCCACAGTGTGATGGGAGTAAAAGCCTGTCCTTCTCTTGACATTCATTCCTGACAATGACAGTCAATGCACAAATATATGATTCATGTAGTACAAGAACTAGACAAGAAAAACAATTATCAAGGCAAACTGAATGGTAGTTTGACTGACAGGAGTTGAGTTTTACTTTTATCCATTCAACAGCTACTGCCAAAGGAAGCAAACATGGTGCCTTCAGTGCAACACAGAGGTCTAGGATAAAGCAGGAGCAGTAGTAGCAAAACAAAAATGCTGATTTACTGTAGAAGTCAAACAGCACAACATCATCTCACTTGTTTTTATTCCCATTTCCCTCCCCCCAGACCACTGTACCATATTTTAAAGGTAACAAATCCCCCAGGCTGTGCACTGGAGCAGTGCCCAAGGACACCTGGAGCATTACAGTAATGGTCATACCTTCATTCTCTGCAACTGTTCTCTAGTGAATGCATGCTGTTTTTGGAGGGACTGATATTTTACTTTCACACTGATCAGCTGCCGTTCCATTTCTGCCCTACGGTCCTCCACCTACAGAATATTGTGAACAGTTATTACTGGGAAGTTATAACACTTGTTCTCACTTGGGTGAGGAGTTTTACATGGACATGTTGCCTAGCAATGAGTGTTCAATCTGCAAATACTGCTTTTGCAGCAACAGTACTTGAAAATACAGGCTATTGATAATCCCCCTGTAATAGAAGTGCTATAGCTGCTGAAGTGCAACAGATTTTTCTTTTGTTCTTTTGATATCAAAATAAAGTAACATTTCATATGCTTCAGTGTTGCTGCAGAATAGTTTTGTTCATTGGCATCAGAACAGTTTAAAAGAAAATGAACTGTGCACCAAAATACCTCCCTATGCATTTAAGAGCAGCTCAACTCTTACTGCAAAACCAATTCAAAAACCCTCCCAGATGCTCAAACATCCTGACATTTTCAGCATGTTTGTAAGACACTTTTTATCAGCATCTTTTAGTATTTCACATACTTGTCTTGCACATTAAAGAAGGCTTTACCAGCTGAACAAAACTACTTAGAGTCAAGATCTGCACACAGAACAGTCATGAGCCCTCACTCACAACTTTTGACTTGATAGCCAGGTAACTTTAAGTGAGTTCATTAATTTTAGTAACTCCTTAACTTCAGAGAGCATAAAAATGATTTTCCATATGTCAGATCAACACTGAAGTCATATTTGAGGAATAGAGATATGTGCTGGCCAGATCAGGTACAAACACTCTAATATTTTCAATGCAATATAAGAAAGAAAACTTAAGTATTTTCTTCTCAGGCATCTATGGTATAATTGTACCTCAGCAAAGAGAGAATTGCCTTTACTTGTAGGGTCCAAAGACTGTTGCACTGCACGATCCAGCTGAACCTGAAGCTCCTGATTGGCTTCACGAGCTTTCTAGATTAAAGCAGAGAGGATATTAATCATTCAAGCATCTGATGCTCTGCATACATGAATTTAATCACAGTTTTAACTCTAATTTCCTATGCTTTAGCACAGATTGTATTGGACTGCAGTACTTTAATGTACATACAGTCCCAGTCACTAAGACAAGATAATTTTATTTCACTAAAAGGCTTAATATTCCACTGTTCTTCATGACAGGAACACAACTAAAAACCTTTGAGGGTTTGCTGTTTGTTGACTGGATTAATGGTATGGAGACCACAGGCCTTGCTGTGTTAGTCACAAAGCCTCTACCCTCCAACACAAGTTTTCCCAGAAACTTGAAATAAAAACTAGAATTGTGGCAGTGAGCTGTGGGAAGGTCACTAAGAGGCAGAACAGTGCTGGGCAGCTCTCCTTACACAGCCTGCCCCAAAACAACCCCAAGAGAGAGCATTTACCAACAGGCAACACCAAACACCATCAGCCAATATCCTTCTCTTTCCTCTCCCTCCTCAGAACTCCTCAAAACTCCAATTTCACCAAAAAGTTGGCACCACAACTTGTGCTACTTGGGGCTTATCTACCAAATTCATTTAAAATTAAGAGAATACCTCTAATGCATTACAGTAAGAAACAACTTCTTTTTCCCTCTCTTCCTTTTCTGCGTGCAGTCGCTCCAGCTGGTTCTGTAAGTTACTGTTGATGAGTTCTAGTTGTTCTTTACTGTACTGAAGCTCATTCAGCTTCTCTTCAACATTGGCCTAAAAAAAAAAACAAACCAGTATGAAATAAATAGTATTTAAAACAACTGGAAGAAAAGCAAGCCCAAGTGAGCCAGACATTTGTCAGTAGTAATTACCTTTAATACAAAATTATATTGAAGAAGAGAAGGTTTTAAAGTCTAGCTGTTATTTTTTGCTGTGCACGTTGTCTGAATATAAATCAATCCACACAACACATCTTATCATGAAATAAGTGCAAAGTCTGATCTTCAATTAGCCTACATTCCTAATGGTTCAGTGCTACTCACACACCTTCACACTTTCCAGTTCAGTGAGCTCTATCTGAAGGTTGAGCATTTCTGAGGACATGGTCTCGTGGACACGTTCAGACATCATGTGCAGTTCCTCTGATTTGGCAGCAATTATTTCCTTCTGATGCTCCACTTTGTGTCTCAGTTGTTTCTCTGAGAGTCGGGTTTCATCAAGTTCTGCTTTCAGGTTCTCCAACTTAAACAGTTGACGAGCAAGGAGTATCATTTTATAATAAATTCTTGAAAAGCACAATACTTCTGACTATTCCAATTACAGAAAATGTCTTAGAAACACAACTTTAAATAAACCTTTAAAGATAATTAAATGTGAAATGTAATCTAATTAACAACAGTGAAGATGTTTGTTAAAAATCAACCAAACTTCTACACATTGTAACTATTTATTATTTATTTTACTAGTTAAGAGTGCAATTATAAGTTAAATTTATAGTATCTAAAATGCTACTAACAACCTTTTAGCTACACATTAGTTGTCAAACCTTGTTTTTAAGGTCATTGATTTCTTGTCCAAAGGCTCTGGTCAGCTGTTCCTTCTGTGTTTCCAGTTGCATGTTCTGCTGCTGCTTGAGGGAATCACACTCAAAATGCAAGCTTTCCAACATCCGATTCTTGAGTTCAATTTCTCTCTGAAGAGTGTATTTCTCTTGTTCAAATTTCTGAAAGAAACAGCACATTAATAAATCTAAACATAATAGTACATTGATCCCTAAGCATTTATCAAAAAGTACAGACTCAGAACCAAGATATTTGTAGCTCATTCAATATTTTGTTGAAGGGAATACCCATGTTTAAAAAAAAAGAACAACTGCTCTAAAATTATGATTTATTATTGTGCAATATTCTCTTCTTCATAGAACTGTCCATGTCTTTGCACACAACATGAAACGTGTGGGGATCTTTTCTGCAAGTGTCACAAAGAAATTTAGCAAGAGTTTACAGGCACTTTCCACCACCATGGAACCCAATTATGTTAAAAGTTGTTACAGCCCATCAAGTGTTTCCCCCGCTGCAGAACAGCTGAGTGCAATGGTTTTTAAAGACAGCTGAATTGTCTGCTGTTGTGGAATAAATCCCATCAACCCTTCCAGACTGAAGAATGATTTTTTAAACAGCTCCCCTCTCTGCCTGATTGCATGTTTGTTAATTATAAAAGGCTTCCATTTTACTCTTCCATTCAGCCAGCAATTAAGGAGGAGGAAAAAAAATAAAAAGAGGAGAGTGTTGAAAGCAGAAATGGTAATAACAAAGCCAAACCAGTCTAAAAATGCAGGATAATTTCTTTCTTTTCAAAATAAATTAACTCTTAAAACAGAAACCAGAAGTAAAAAAAGGAACAGAGCAAAACTAAAAGCTGTCAGGTATCAGACTGATCTCTGTGGCCCAGACACAGCTTATCAAGGACAGGCTTAGCTCTCAAATACAACAGGAGAAGAGCTTTAACTCAAAGATAAAGGCAGTGCACAGGACAGATTTGGGAGTGCACTTGTGGCCACACCCCAGAATGACAAAATTCAAGCAGATTTTATCTGCACACTCGTACAGAAGAGCACAGAGATGTTTCTAAACAAAAGTTTTGAAAGAACTTACTTGTGTGCACAGGAACTGCTTTGGCTCTCAGATTGCAAAGAGGAGAGCCAGAAACTCCAGAGAATCTGCTGGGTAACCACAGTTCCCACACAAGATGTTATTCTACTGAGTGAAAGCACACAACTCCTTCCCTCTGCCCTTGGAATCTGAGTTCCTAATTGATCTGGTTCACACAAGCTCTTGGCTCCAGCTTCTGACCCAGGATTACAACCTGTGGGTGCAGCCTGACAGCACAGGGCTGTCAGCAGGAAAGGATGATCCTGCCCTGCCTTCCTTATCACTTGTGCTTTCAGCTGCCCCTCACACAAAGCTTTCCAATGGTAAACTAACCAAAATAAGCAATTCTGCTCTTTTAGAACAGCAGAGTGCTACAACCATCCAGCTGGTATGAAAAAACACACAGAAAACAAAAATTACACACATTTTGTCTCTACTCCAAGAGAAGGGATGGATGCACACCCAGAAGGAGGCTAAATGAAAACAAATGGTCCATATGAAACATGGGCTGGCTGAAAACAAACTTGAAAATTAAAGTCTTGATGAAAAGTGGAAGGGATTTTTCCTGATTGTAATTTTCTTGAACAATTAGTAAGAAGAAAACAGGTCAACTAAATAATACCTCTGTATTTCAGCACTGTACTACTCTTTTTTCTGAGCTGCAAAGAAATGTCCTAATAAGTTCAGGACCTCTGGGTATGTGAAAAATGTGAAAGCTTCACTACAGAAGAAATCAATTTTACAGTCTTGCTGCTCACATTCTTCTCACAGCTTTAAATGATGGAAAGCTTATAGGGAGAGCACACATGAATGAATTGCTGAACAGAGGCAGAACACATGCTCTGAAACAAATTCACTGTAGCATTTAGCATTCATTTTACATTAAAGGCAATTAGTCCTGCATGGTACAGAACACTTGATGCATAATTAGCTATGAAACCCTGTCCCAGTTAGATACAATTATGCTCAATGTCTTAAAGCAGAGGAGAAAAAAAGCTCTTTACACAAGTTCTTAGAGGTTTATTAAAATTAATGGAGACTCCAAAAGGCATTTAAAACACCTGTGCCTGCAGAAAATAGTTAAAATAAAACAAAGTTGAGTTTTGAACAGTCATCACCTCAGTCTTCTCAGTCAGTTCACGGCGTGTTTGATCCAGCTGATTTTGGACTTCACTTTGGGACTCCAGTAAATGCAAACCATATTCTGCTGCCTTTCTTCTCTCATTCTCTGCCTCCTTGAGTTGCTGTTTAAGACTTAAAATGGTGTCTGCCTCCATTTTCCTTCCTTCTGTCACTTCAACACTGCAAAGACAAAATTGTTAAAAAAATACCTTGCATAAGTTACAGTAAGTTACTGGATTTCCTTTCTTCACCAGGATACAAGGATATATTTTTTGCATTAAGACAAAAAAAAAAAAAAGGCAACAAAAACCAAGACAGCTCACAAACAAACAGATCTACAAACAATAATAATAGCTATTTCTTCATGAATTTGGTTAGTGTCTTACTCTTTATTACATCTTAACTAACAGCAGGCAGCAAAAGCACTCCTGCATACCTGGTTTCCTCACCCCCCAGAGCCAGAATTAACCTGGTACAGAGCTCTCTTGCCAAGGACAAGAGTGGGCCAGGGAATAATCTTATAAAAACACTTATGCACATGGCTGGCAATATTTTCTTTGTATGACAAATCAAGCCCCACCAAGTACAGGATCACTTGTGTACACAAATAACACTTAAGATTCACGTGGGCAGCTGTATTAGCAGGCCAGTTTACTCCTAATAACATTAGGTGGGATATAGACACAGATAAGAGCAGTTCAAGGGAAGAGGCAAAAATAGAAATGCTGTTAAAATGTCTGGAATTTTAATATAGCATTTATTTAAGTGCTTGATGGAGTCTTTCATTACTGTTTATTACTTTAAAATTTATTAACTATTTCTTTGTTAATAAGCATCTCCTTGGCACATGTTTCAGAAAGTTCATCCATCTGTCACTTCAGAGTGTAAAAGACACAAGGTGAATTTTGCAAAAAGTTGGTCAAAGTAAATCCATCAAACCAAATATTAAAAAAAAAAAAATAATGAAATTCAAGTCAAATTAACACTGTAAGTTGGTGGGACTGCTTGCTCTCAAATCTACTAAATCAGCATGCTGCCAAAAAATCCTATTAAGAGAGAAAATGCTAAGCAACTTGGGTTTCTGAACAACATATGCCAAGAGTTTGCTCAGAAAGCAGGGGGTACCAATGACAGACAAACACAAAAAAAAAAATCTGCAGTTGATTTTTCAAAGCCAGGGTTCATAATTGCTATATAAATTGAGGATTAAATTCTTTATTGAAGATCTAACTCTTTGTTTTCCCATAAGCAATTTATTTGTTGCCATTTCTTATTGGCACATTTATTATTCTTCACTTTTTTTTTTTGCTAATTTTTATTCAACATGGAAAACTCCTTGTGGAGTTACCCAGCTCCCACTAAAAGAAAAAAAATAGTGGAGGCATAGTCTGAGGCACGAGACACAAGTTATTAAATTCTGGTTTTTGCATTTTCTTCTCCTTTCTTGTATCTATCCAGGTTTAACACATACCAAGACCCTTTATCCAGCCATGCTCTGAAATTTCACTTTTTCACATCTAACCACTGCAATGCCTGAAATCCTAGTTTTGCACACTTATGCCAGAGAAAGACAGGAATTTTGCAAACCTGTAACTAAGAATCAACAATATTACACTTCTGCAAGGACAGACAGACCATGTACAATTTAATAATTAAATGTTTAAGGTAGGATGTAGCAATACAAGTGTATAGGCAACCACTCCTGGCATCTATTTCCATTGAAGAGAATTAATGAATCCTTGCTCACTTACAGAAATAGAATTTTTAAAATAGCTTTATCTTCTGATCAGATAGCAGCATAGAGGCAACAGAGCTATTTGACTGCTCTTAGCTTACTAAATTAAATGAATAACATGTTTAACTCACCTTCAGAAGTCCATTGTAGTCTTTCTTGATTTTATTCTTGCACTCCACCTTTAAAAGAAAATAAAAGCAACAGTTGTCTAGAGCAGCTGAGTCTGAACTGCCACCACAGCAGAGTCCTTCAGAGCAGTCCCTGGTCAGAACATGCCTAACCCTGGGGCTGCCTCATGAACATGCAGATCACAACCTAAAACCCCATATAAATGCAAATCTTATTCAAATCTCACTTAGGCAGCTGGCAGACAGTTTAGAAACAGCCAGATCAGGCAGTGCTGCCAAAGGAGGGATGCTCTGCAAGTGGCCTGTGGGGCAAGTAAACAGGCTACACCCTGGTCACCTACTTCTGGAACACATGGAATTTTTAAGGGCTGTTCAGGGATTTTTGTCTCACTCCATCCTAATTCTTTAGTCTCTTTTGCATTTCCCCTCCAGTTTCACGTAGAAGACCTTTGAGCTCTTAATATATAAATTACTGCATAATATATATATAAAAAAAAATATTATTTTTTTTTAATTTTATAGTTGAAGTATAGAGGAAAAGACAAATAGCTCTCCTACTCACACATTCTTTGCTTACTATTAGGGAAAAAAGCAAGTGTGCTTTTTGGAGCACAGACACTCTCAACATTCCATTGTCAATTCCAGATGCAGCTAATCTAATTCCTAGTTTTGTTCATAAAGCTGTGTTGTTGTATAGGAAATAATTGCCTGCAATTTAATATTGTACATGAGGCTAAGTAAATTGCCCTGAAAACACTTTAAGAGTATTTAAATAGGCAGCAAGGTGAGCAGGCAGGAGGCAAAATAAGGGCAGAATAAATGGAGAGCGATTTCAAAGAGTTGCAAGAGAGTTCCTCACTTTTGGCTAATTAACACATTTTATGACAGATTCTGGGCTGAGGGCTGCACACCTCAATTATTCAACCATTCAAGCACTCATTAATAAAAACAATAAGGTAGGAGATAAAAAGGCAGTTTTCTGGCAGGCAGACTTTCTTCTCCTGCTCTCTAACAGTTCTGGTTAATCTGCTATTCCCGAGGGTCACGTGTAACAGCTGCCTGTGTTCTGATCCTTCCAGGAGCACCTGCACAGTTTTCTGAGCGCTGACATAATTAGCAAGCTGGTTTCTCTCCCTTATCCCAGCTATTCCCCTGACAATTCCATTGTTACTCACACAAGCCCATCCTTCACCTACCACACCACACACACTCAAGCTGAACATTTTCAGGGTTAATCACCTTCCACAAAAAAACACTTTTCTGGGCTAGTGAGTAATACAGAGACTACCTGTACACAGAATATAGCATATTATACCCTATATTATATACCACAGATATATTCCATCCCATATTATATACCACGGATATATTCCATCCCATATTATATACTATAGATATATTAAATCCTATAGGACATGCTAGATATGTATATATTATATGCCATATCACATGCTATAAATGTGTATCCATATCTATTTACACATAGGTATATATCTATAAAACGCAGAAATAATACACTACAGCCTCATCTTTCAGTCCCCACAAAGCCCCGGGCAGGCCAGCAGCTGGCTCTGGGAGCACTTTGTGTAATTAGTGCCATGTCCCCTCTGCTCTCTCGTTCCGGACCCATTCCTCACCCGGTAATGCCCTAACGGACACCGAGGGCAGGCGCCCCCCGCTCCACCGGGGGCCGTAGGGCAGCAAACCACCCTCCCCGCCCCAAGGGACAGGGGTGGGCACCAGCAGCACGACCGAGGCAGCCCCAGAGAGATAGAGCCAGCCCCCCTCCTGCCCGCTCCCCCCTCACCGCCCTCACTGTTCACCGGCGCCGCTCCCACCGTTCAAATCGCCCCCGCGCCACCGCCCCTCAGCCAAGTCTCGCGAGAGCTGGCCCCGCCCAGCACCGCCCCGGCCCGCGCATGCGCGGGCGGGACCCGGGAGGGGTGTTTGCGTGAGGGGTTTTGTGCCGGGGAATTCCGGAGTTGTCCCTGTAGGGACCGTGTTGGTGCCTTCGCAGGGCCTTGGCCGCCTTGTTTATTGTTGTTAAATGGCAGAGTGTTGTCCCGAACGCGAGCTCGCAGCGCCGATTCACACACCGAACCGAGGGGTTTCTGTATGTTGTTCTAGTCTGCGCAAAGCAAAGGCTGGCTCAACGATGATCAAATCTTTACACTATTTACGCGCTTCAACAGAGGCATCAGCATTCCTTGATTACAAATTCCATTTCATGAGTACCCAAGCCCATATTCGCTAGTTATATCTCTCTTGTCTTAGCCCACAGGTGCAGTTCTCTGCGTTTCAGTCAGTTCTGTTCTGAGCAGGTGGTCAGTGGGTGGATGGTCCTGATCTCCCACTGCCAGAATTCCTTCCCCTGCTTACTGCTCAGTCCTGCTGACTTAGAATCGTAGAATCATAGAATCAGCTGGGTTGGAAGGGACCTTCGAGATCATCAAGTCCAACCCTTGATCCAACCCCGCTGTGGTTCCCAGCCCATGGCACTGATGCCACATCCAGTCTCTTTTTAAAAATCTCCAGGGGCGGAGAATCCACTACTTCCCTGGGCAGCCCATTCCAATGTCTGACCACCCTCTCTGTAAAGAAATTCTTTCTAATATCTAACCTAAACCTTCCCTGGCACAACTTCACTCCTGGGGGCTCTCTTCAGACAGCCCCTAATCGTGGGATTGTCCACCCTTTTCCTTAAAAGATTAGCCAAGCATACAACAATCACAATGCAATGGCTTAATCATAACTGTCCATCTGCAGCTGCTGATTAACAACTAAAAAAAAAAAAAAAAATTGCAAAGTCTGATTCAAATCTTGAGGGGCTCAATATCAAGAGCAACAGTGAGCAACCCATCCAGCCAACTACAGAGAACCTGATCCATTTGTTCCCTGTGTGCTCTGAGCTATTAAGTACCACCCCTGGTGTGATTCTTTAGTACAGCACCGTGTTCACATTTTCTTCAACAGCAAGCTTCTATTTGTATATAAATTCTGGGGTGCAAGGCTTGGAAGCAATGGTAAAGGAGGGTGACCAGGGCTACTGTCGTGGTCTGGCTGCTCTTGTACTCGTTAAACAACATTCACTGTGTTAAGCCTTCCCCAGTGGGGACGAATGTTTGCACAGAGCCCATGGAAGATTTTCCAAAGAGGGAATGTTGTAATAAAGCTCAGCTCCAGCACTGCAGCCATACCCAGCCAGAGCATAGGGAGGTGTGAAGGACATGCTTGGCTTCCAGAGTCATGGGCAATGCCACCTCACTTAAAGGAAACACAGGGAGTAAGCGATGAGAGTCAAAATGTACAGAGTGCTCTGTGTCATGTGGGAAGCCTGCAAAGTCCAGGGGCAATCAGCTCCTCCAGGCAGTGTTCTACAGGAGAGATATGGGGCTGGCAGAAGAATGCTGCAAGTGTCTGGTCTATCCCACTGCCTGCTTCCCTCATGAAGGAAATCCCAACCCTCAGCAGGGCTGCTGAGGCTGCCTGCCCCTGTCACCACCTCCTTATTGAGCCAAACCTTCCCTTGGGTTCTGTGGAGCTTTACTGTCCAAGCTACACAGCAAGTTCGAGTGCTTGTAGCATGGAATCATAGAGTATGCTGAGCTGGAAAGGACCCATCAGGATCATCAGTCCAACTCCTGGCTCTGCCCAGGACACCCCAACAATCCCACCCTGTCTCTAAGAGCGTTGTCCAAACACTCCCTGAGCTCTTGGGGCTGTGACACTGCCCTGGCGAACCTGTTCAGTGCCCAACCACCCTCTGGAGGAAGAACCTTTTCCTGAGATCCAACCTGACCCTGCCCTGACACAACTTCATGCTGTCAACTAACCTTCTAACTTGTTATTTGCCTCTCTAGCTTGCTCTAGTTTCTACTCATCTTCACTTCTTGTACCAGGGAGCAGTCCCAGGGAGGGATTTCATAGTGTTAAATTGTACAGTATTCATAGATTTCCTAAACCAGTGAAGATCTGAGTGATATCCAGCAAGAAGAGCAAAATTCACCAGCAGGAGTGTTTCACCATAGACTCCTGATGGTTATTAGAAAGTCCAGGGGCAGGTGTCTATGTACCATTTTATTCTGCCCCAAAAGAAAACCTTAGTAATTTTTACCTTTTAAGCAGTGGTTAAATTTTTAATCTGTTCTGCAAGATTCATGCATTTTGTACTTATTATTCTATTTGATGTGACATCCCTAACAAAAGCCACTGCACAGAAACCTCTGATAGCAAATTCTGCCTTTAAAGAAACATGTTTCAAGTAATGCTAGATTAAATTCAAGCAACAGGCTGTAAGTAGATGCAAGGATAACAATCCTATTTGGAGCAACTGGGACAGAAATAGATGTCTTAAGGAAAAAGGGGCTTGGAAAATAAGCACATAGTATAAAATTTGACAGAGGGAGCCAATAAAACACTACTACTACTACTATCAAAATGATACTGCTCCTACTATTCTATCAAAATGTGAGTCTGGCTTTTGTCAATAGAAATGGGATTAAAAATTAAATACAGAATGATCTAGACAGGCAAGAATACCAAGTTGATTAAAACAGGGACAGGAAACGAGACAATCCTGTTCTAATCCTGATTCTGCTGCATTCACTGTGTGATTAACCACTCCAAATACCCACAGCTAAACCCCCTTGTTTTAAAATAAGGATAACGGCGACTTAATTAACAAATCCATGTAATTCTCATGACAGTTAGTGAGTACATCTTGGAAAAAAATAAAATACATTGTAAATGCTAAGTATTAACATGATTACTCCACCCTCATAGCATGCTAAATTTTAAAAGACTTAAAATAGCTGTTGCTTCCCCCTCTGGTTCCACAGTCACATATGACAGCTGACATGAAATATTTTAGCAAACTCCATAACATTTTCTTCAGCTAAGAATTTCCATTTATGCCTTAAAACAGAGTTAGGAGCTTAGATGCAAAGTAATTAGTTCATTATTTAAAACATGCCATTATTTTCAGACCTGTTCTCTTCCCCTTGCTGAATTGGCTGTCACTGGGACACTGTTTTACAGACCACGTCTACAACTTGTAAAACCCATGTGCTGGTTTTTAATAAGCCAGTAGCAACTTGTCAAGTGTCAGAATGCTACAGGATCATTCCCTGGTGTTACAGTATCTAATTCTAATATACCCCAGGATTCCTTGGCTCTGAAGCTGGATTTGACTCTAAGAGGTTGTAGAAAAGCATAGAATGACAAGGTCATTATGTCCATTGTTTGTAGTAATTATGGATTTATGGAAACAAATACTTTTGACCCATTTATCTATGAAAAGACAGTCACTTTTCGTGTTTCTCTTCAGCTTAGGTTGTATTTAGTCCCTTGCTCTTAGAAACTTTTCTCCTGCTTATGACCTCAATAACAACCATTGCCCTATAGAGATTCTACAAATCCAGTAGTTACTGAAGCATAAAGTGTGCAGTTTGCATACTTTTGTTTATTGACATTTTATATCACTAAACTTAATTAAATCTGTGCACTGCTAACCCTGTGTAAAATGGAAATCCGTGTTTTGTGAGTCTTATCTATTCCAGCAAGCCAGAATTCCACGTAAGTAAGGGAGTAATTGCAGCAAGTAAATGTGTTGGGGCTAGTTTTCCCCCCCGAGGAGGAGGCTTGTTGTCTTTATCTAAATAAAAACAAATGAGTTACAAAAGCCCTCTTGGTCTTTCCCTGCTAATTACAAACAAGTGAGTAGCAGCAGCCTGTTGGGAAGTGCTGATTAGGAGCTGTCACTCTGGCCCAACAGACCCAGGGGTCGTTATAATAAAAACTTAGTGGAACATTAAGTTGTGTTCTGTTCGTTTGTTATTATTTGTGTGTTCTTGCTCTTCATTATTTAAGAAAACTTAATGTTGCACAATTTAAAGCCATATTACTTTATTTGCCAGTGCAGCTTTGTAAAAGCCCAGGTTTAACTCCGTCCAGATTTTTGGTAAACATGAAACTGTTCTGCACTTTTGAGATGGGACACTTTCACCTCCTATTAAATAGAATCCAGAGGACTATACATTTCAATTTATTACTGTGAATTCCAAGAGCAGTAACACCAATACCTGAGTTGTTCTGCAAAGAACTCAAGTAGCTCAGTAATTACAGCAACAGATTGAGGGCCAGTAACTGTTTGTAATCCTCTCTAAACTATTAGAGACTGACCTCATCCAAATCACTTCATCTCACTATTTCAGTCATCTTAGCAAAACACGTCTTTGCTCTGTATTTTTCTTACCAATCTAACCTTAAATAGCCTTCTGTGGCTGCACAGGAGTACTGGGCAAGAGCTGTCAAGTAGGTGTGAGAGTCTCTTTCAAATACAAACTCTCAGGTTTGTAACTCCCTCATGAAAGCTTTCCATGACTTTTATTTAGATTTGTTACGGTTTTTTACAGTTTGCTTGAACGTGGCAGGAGCCTCACAATGACTTTCCGGGATTTATATAAGCCAGGGGTCCAGTTATGAAAATATACTTTCTTCAGGACATAAATTCAGAGACAAGTTACAATTGAAATTTGCATTAAAACTCAATTAGCATCTTGTAGGCTGTATTTTCCTTCATTCCTGATTTTCTTTTTTTTATTTTTTAACTATGATGTGAAATTGGATGCATCTTTCACCTTCTTTTCGAACATCCAGGGTTAAAATCACAACTGCAAGATTTTGCTAAAAACCAACAAAATAACAATACAAGTTTCATGATAATAAATTCAGGGGGTTGATTTGCTGTTTGTTTATACTTCGTAACTCAAGGGATCAGTCAATCCCAGGGCAAGGTTACCAAATCAACATGTAATAGAACCTGGAGTGTACAGGA